AAAAGGGGGGGGGGGCGTACAGTAAGGAAAAGGGGACAGAAAAGGGCAAAATGAGTATGCTTTTCGGAAAAAAACAACAGGCAACTGATTGATTGAGCTGTGTCTTCTAAGATTGCAAGCTAGAAAGTTTTTAAAGAAAAAAAAAGTAAACACAATGATATGATAATTATACACCTTTATATCGAAATAATTATAAAAACAATTCAAGCGATGTCAGGGGAAACTGGGAATCATATTCCATCAGAATTAGAGATGTTGAGCTGAAAGCTCCTAGACCGACAAATCCCAATTGATCTATCGCCATACGGTATTTCAGCCAACATTTGGCGGCCGTTTGGGACTTCATAAAGAAACACAATGTATCCTGACACCTCCTCGGTCACACCTCGTGCACGTCATGTGTTCAGGAATCGTGCAACTAAATCTAAAAGAGATAGAACGCAGTTGTTTGTTGTTGTTTTTTTTAACACGATCCAAATTTGAACGATGTTACAATAAGTTTACCAAGGTATTTCTAATTTTCCGCCCTAGCAAGTGAAAATTGTGTATGGAATAGAACCGATCTATAGATTGATCAAATTGTTGTTTACCGTATTCATGCAACTGGAAATCACTGGTTGCTGCTGCTGCTGCTGCTGCTGCTGCTGCTGTTATTGTTGTTGTTGTTGTTGTTGTTGTTGTTGTTGTTGTTGTTGTTGTTGTTGTTGTTGTTGTTGTTGTTGTTGATGATGATGTTGTTAACAACATTATTAGCCTCATTAATAATATCTTGCTGAGTGTTAGTCAAAACCCTCTGTTTTTTGTAAGTCATGTCTCACTATTAAAGTTCTGTTGAGTCTTAGGTCATACTCGTAGTATCTAACCAGATTATGCCTGTTAAAGGAAGTGTGTGTGTTATACATGCTGTTGTTTTCGCTCTTAGTTAACGGTAGGCTAGTATAGCTGGCTCATCGCATGGCTCTGTTGTTTTAAGACATAGGAATAATCTTAAACCTCTGAAAACCTATTTTATATGTATCATCAAACTGTAGCATAGTTATTGCACGGAGCTTTCGGTTCTACTCAGTATAACATTTACCTTAAACGCACAGGTTAATTTAAACAGGAGCGAAGTCATAGACGAAGATTTATGATACTCCAAAAATGGATTACAAAGTTGGCTGCGTACAAATTTGGGATTGCCTTCCGTATACTAAGAGTTAAAGATAGACAATTGTTTTGAGAATTTGTGGCGTCGGTTGAAGGCTATGTGCTCCGGGATTCGAGCCTCAGGCCCGATATGATATCTTTGAGAATGGCACTTTTCGTGAATTTTTTTCACTTCACCCAGTTGTTTCTTGGGTACCTGGCCATAGACAAGGAAAGGTCTTGTCGGTGTGATAGTGTTAGTGTTTTAGCACCTATAAAATGTCAGCTTATACTGTATGCTTCTCAGGAAGTTGAGATTGTTTCAGAGAGCGACCACATCTGCTGGGGTAATAATATAGACTGCAAAGACCTAGAGAGCTTGTTGTATAGTGAGAATTTGTGCTATGACAAATTATGCTATTTGTTATTATTACTATTAACTAGTCGCGTGTAACCTCAATCTCGAAACAAACGCGATTGCTTTTCAACTGGCGGCGGGG